AGAAGAAGAAGAAGAAGAAGAAGAAGAAGAAGAAACTTTGAATGATTCATTCAATTTTCATAGCATACAGACAATAGTTTTGAAGTACCTAGGCCTTACCAAATTCATCTCAATCAATGGGACCTCCGAACTCTTCCTGTTGATCACCAAAACACCAAGTTCATGTCCAACTTGAAAAGATATTCACCACAATCAATACCAGCATAACTATCATGACATACTCAACTAATTGTAAACACAAACATGCCAATTGAATGTCCCAGGACTAGGATGAGGTCCAGATCCAGTAACTCAAAGTGAAATAATCAATCACATATAACATAATGTACGGGCCTAATCCACAAGCAGATGATTGCAATGCTAATATCATCCACCATGGAATCTTAGTCCAAACCTACATAAAGTCTTGTTAAACATTCTAACACATTTTACTATAGAACAAAAGTATACAACAAAATTCAAATACAGCTCTGAACTAAATTTTTAACAGCATGTTGATGAGCTGAATTTGCTTAATCAATAGACTGCACCTAGACAAGAAATAACTTCCCGAAAGCATAAACTTTGCCATAATTTTCTCCAGAAACTCTAATTATTGCTATCATAACCTTCTTAACCAAACAACAGTAAAACAGCTAAGCTATCTCGAGCCATACCTTTTGTAGAATCAGCTTCAGCTCGGTATATACAGTGGGCTTTGGTGTATTGAGATCAAACTTTCAAAGCAAAATCAACCCGAAATTAAGATCACAAACATCAAACAAAAGAACCCATAAAACCAAAATTACGAGTAAACAAATGGACAACCTCACGATTAACAGCAGCAAAGATTGGGCAATGCCTGCCGATCATATCGTGTTATACCTTTCTCGTCTGCGAGTTTCCAAAATCAAACAAAAAAAGGGTAACAGATAGCTAATAATTGACAGCAAACTCGTAAATCGACTCGCACCCAGTTAAAAACAAAAGCGGCGGGAAATGCTTACATATTGGTATTGGCCCATTCAGCTCATGGGGACGATCGATAAGCTAGTGAACTCGGCATGGATGAACACAGTAAGAGCAGAATCAACACCGTCATTCGAGCGGCTCTGTAACTTCACTCTATGAAATTGGTCCCCTCAGTCCTCCGTTGACGATTGCAGGTAATTAGGGTTTAAGGACCAGTGAAAACATTTGGGGGTTGACCAACGATTCCAATTTTGACTTTGGGGGGTTTGAAGGTGCTGACTGCTGAGGCTATTGTTATTTGCTAATGCCAGAGTTAGAATTCCAAATGCCATACCAAAGTCCTGCATAACTACATTCTTACCCTTGTCGTGTCAAATGCCAAGTCATGGAAGTCTTGATTTTTTTTTTTAATTTTTTTTCTTTTGTACTTTTAAGATTTTTAGTTGTACCGAATTTTAAATATATATATATATATATATATACTGAAAATTTGCTGGTAGGATTTTATATATGTATTTTTGTATTTAAAATCTTTTTTTTTTTTATATATATATAGGCAAATCTCAAATTTCCATGACTTTTAAAAGCTTTATATAATGTCATAAAATACATAATCACTTTCAAAATTTTGTTTAAGCACATTAAGTCATAAGCATAAAATTATCTTTATATTTCAAGCAATGATCGATTCTTTTGACAAATTATATTTAAAAAAAAAAAAATGTTACTTTTTGTTTTTCATGAGATGAGAATATGATATGATATTCAGTAGCCTTAGCCTATCACAAAGCCATTGTCTCTACATCTCGTACATAGACATATGAGAAGAAAGTCAAAAGCAGAGCAAATTGCAACTTTATTTTAATGTTAATATCATTTGCTATCCAATTGATTTTAGATTTGCTTTCTTTGGAAAATTATTTATATTATCTGTTTTATTAAAGGGTGCTGCCTAGGGTTGTAAACGAATCGAATCAAAGCGAATACTCAGAGATTAGATTCGGATTCGTTAAAATATTCGAAGATTCGAATTCGTATTCAATTCGTTAACGAACTCATTTTTTTATTCGTATTCGATTCGTTTAGAATATTCGAACATATTCGATTCGATTCAAAATTCGTTTTAAAAAAAAATTATAATAAAAAAAATATTATAATTACAAAAAATAATTTTTATTTTTCATATATTTTTAGGAAAATTTGTTAATTTATGATGCTTTTACTTTTTATGTCACAAAAATAGTAGGAACATAACAATATATATACATATATATTATAAACAAAATGTATACTATATATAATTTATAAAATTTATTTAATTGTTGTTAACGATTCGAATTTCGAATTTCGAATCGAATATCTATAAATTCAAATTTGAATTCGTTTAACTTTCGAATATAAAACATTATTCGTATTTGAATTCGAATCACGAACATCGAATTCAAATATCAAATCGAATCAAAAAATTTTGATTTGTTTACAAGCCTACTCCTGTCTATTGTAACTCATCAAGTCATCCCTAAGATATATAGTTTTCCTTTAATAAGGCCAACCATCCTTAGACTTATATATTTAATTGCACCTATTCAAATAAATGTCTAATAAATGACCAGTATAAATGATTATTAGCTTGCTTACTTAGCAGATTATATTAAACTAGTATAACACGAGTGCTTGATATTTTTTTCTTTAAAATCTAAAATTAATGAGAAAAAAGTAGTTGAAAAATGTAAATACTTTTTATAAATATATATATATTATTATATATTTAATATGACACTTTTTATTTGTGCGACTTACCTGTGTTATATTATAATTATTTGTGCGACTTACCTGTGTTATATTATAATAAGTTTTTTAACTTACAACATATAACTACATTAAACATAAATATATCAATCGGGAAATAATTTTATTTTTATAATGAATTTTAATAAATATTATTATTTTTTATTATTATAAAGATAAATTTAATTTATTTATTTCATATATTCAATATGGATGTCAAATCGAAGATCATCAAAAGATGATTAATGTGATATATTATATATGTAAAATCGATAAGAAATACAAAAGTTATCAATTTTTAAATACATTTACAATTCAATAGCTAATTGAAGGAAACAAATCAAGAGTCATGGATATCTTAGCCACTTATTGCCTCATTATGTAAAATTACAAAGAATTAAAAGGGTTATATTAGTAAAAGGGATATTAAAATATCTAAATTAGTTAAATAGTATTTATGGAATGTCCGAACCTAGATTATTAATTATTAATATATCAATATTATTTGTCCAAACCTAATTACGAAACATGATTTTTCTTCAAGTAGGATTTCGAAGCACCAGAAGCAATCATGTAGTCTGAGCCATTCCAAAATTATATACAAGGGGATAGTTGTGTAAAATTGTTTGATAAATGACGTATAGCAAATTGTACTGATTGTATAGAAGTATTCATAAATAACAAATTCACACAATAATAATATTAAATTATATTTTTAGTAGGTAATTAAATTTAGGGTTTAGATCTGTAAGATGGATAGATTGTGAATAGTTAAATATTCTTAATTAAATAATGATGGTTATTTTATTTTTTATTTTTAATTTGCTAATATGTATATATATTTAGAGTGATATTTTAAGACTTTATAAGACTTTCAGATTTTGAAGAATCCTATTAAATCTTAAGGATGTGATTGTGTATAAAATAATCAAATCCATACGAAATTCATACTTAAAATCTAACTCAACTTTCGTATAATATTTTTTTCTTTAGAAATCGCAACAATATTACAAAGTCCTAGACAATCACAATCTCATTTAAGTTAAATACCTCATGATTTTGTAAGATTTTTTAAAATCTCAAATAAATACCTGAAGACTTTTAAAAATCATAAAAAAACTTGAAAAGTTCAAATTAAATACACCAGAATTGTTTTAAAAAATCTTTAAAAATTATAAATGAATACACTCTAAATATAATTAACAATAAAAATATACACAACTACTTTCAATCTATCTCTTGTGAGTTGTGACACACAATGATCTTGTAATACAATTAGGCATGAAACACAATCATATTCATCAATTATATATTTTTTTTTAACCTTTATGAAACTAGTGTATAAATATCTAAAATCAAAACATTAAAAAACCAAAAAAAAAAAAAAATAAAAAGAAAATTACCCCCAATTAGAAAAAAATTTGGGAAATATGCAATTATATGGAAGGTTAAATTACAAAAAATTGGAGCTCTTTCTTGACTTAGGGTTAGTGACTGTAAAATTACAAAAAAGATTTGAACTTTAACGCGTACAATACGAAAGAGGAAAAAAATACCGGGGCAGTGCAATCGGCAGTCAAAAAAACAATGAAATTTCTGTAATTGTAACACAACGATCTGCAGTAGGTGGATCATAATTTCATATGTCATATGATTTTGGATACATATTTATGCACAAAATCCAAATCCGAACACGCAGATTTGTGTGTATTTATGCAGTGTTTGTCTCTGCTCCAACCTAACACAAACAGGGGAGAAACAAAAAAAATCGAGCATCTGTTAGAAAAACCCATCACTCTTGTTGTCATTCAAACTCTCTGAGAACTCCATTGATTTTTTTTTTTTTTTTTTTCATTTTCCCGTCAAAATAGGCAAAACCCTCTTCCCTATTTCATACACTGAGGAGAAAGATTGTTCCTTTATTGTTTTTTTATATGCCTTTCTCATAT